AAGAAAGAAAGAAAGAGAAAGAAAGAAAAAAGAAAGAAGAGGGCTGAGAAGGTGGCTCAGTGGTAGAGCGCTTGCCTTGCATACATGAGGCCCTGGGTTCGATTCCTCAGCATCACATAAACAGAAAAGGCCAGAAGTGGCGCTGTGGCTCAAGTGGTAGAGTGCTAGCCTTGAGCTGAAGAGTTCAGAGACAGCGTCCAGGCCTAGAGTTCTAGCCCCATGACTGACCAAAAAAAAGGAAAGAACCAAACAAAGAAGAGAGAGAAAGGAAGGCAGGCAGACAAGCATAAATGAGATAAAAACATACAGGAAAAAAAAAAACCCTGCATATTCCACATTGTTTTCTGAGTGTCTCCACACACACAGCCCAGGCTGGCTTCAAACTCCCGCCTGACATCCCAAGTAGCAGGCCCATAGCCCTGTACCACCATCCCCGGCTGGCTGGCCATGATAATGTTTTATGTACACGGCACTGTGGTAAGCACTTCATGTATAAAACACAGGCTGAGACGGTCAGGCAACCTCTCTAAGAGCACAAAGGTCATGTAGGCAGTATGGCCAGGATGGCACCAACACACTCTGCCTACCAAGGGTGCGTTCAACCACAGTGAAGCAAATGAAACACAGACCAATCTCTCCATCCAACACAGGCGATGGCTCTTTCTCCATCTCCAGTTAGTACACCTAGGCCCACCTGGGTCTTATCCTTCCTATACCCAACACATGGTTCCATGGGGAATCACGGTCGCTTTAAATGGAAAACACAACCACCATTTTCCCCTCTCTATATAAACAGCCTGTCCTGAGTGAAAGGAGAAAGAAAAATGCAAAGTACGTTAGCCATGCTAAGCACAGAGCACATTTTATTACCTATACTGGGTATTAAACCCTTGGTGGGACCAAGAGTGGTAGCATATGCTTATAATCCCAGTGTTAGGAAGGCAGAGGCAGGGAAATTATTAGTTTGAGGCTAGCCTGTTATAAAAGCAGACCTGACTCAAAACAAACAAACAACAATTTTTTTAAAAATCCGCATAGGCAAAAAACTGAGATTACAGTTTGATACTCTGAAATTCAAAACAACAACGCTAGTACCTGCAATTCAAGTGGTTTTTCACTACTCTGAAGCAGGAACTGTATTTCAGTCACTCTTCTAGAAAATTCCAAAGTTTTTTCTTCATGGGCTTGTAACACATCCTAAAACACATTTTAAAGGAATATATCTTGTTACTTCATGGCTAATTTTCATAAAATTTTAATCTACAGAAACAGAGTGCTGTGGAATTTCACTTAAGTGCTTGTTTTTGTGTTTTTGTTAGTCGTGGGACTTGAACTCAGGGCCTGAATACCTTGAGCTTTCATGCTCAAGCCTAGCACTCTACCACTTTGAGCCACAGTGTCATTTCCAGTTTTATGGTGGTTAACCAGAAATAAGAATGTCATGGACTTTCCTGCTGGGGCCGGCTTTGAATCAGGATCCTCAGATCTTAGACCTCCTGAATAACTAGGATTACAGGCGTGAACGACGGGCAACCAGTCTTTTTTGACAGTCTTGTGAATTAGAAACACAAGTGTCTTCTGTTTTGAGGACAATAGAGAACCTAAGCAAAGTATTACAAATTCTCAGACATGTGAATGGACACTCAGTTGCAAACACAATTTTGGCAAAAATTGACCCATGGGCTAACTGCTTGATTATCTCTAACTTCAGATTTTTAATTAATTAATTTATTTATTTTTTTGGTCAGTCATGGGGCCTGAACTCTGAGCCTGGGCGCTGTCCCTCAGCTCTTCAGCTCAAGGCTACTGCTCACCACTTGAGCCACAGCGCCACTTCCAGCTATTTCTGCTTATCTGGTTTTGAGGAATCGAACCCAGGGCCTCGTGCATGCAAGGCAAGCACTCTACCACTGAGCCACCTTCCCAGCCCTAACGTCAGGCTTTTAAATAACCTGTATTTCAAGAAAATGTTAAAGGATCCTTAGAGATGTCTCACTTTCACTCAGAGGATCATAGTTTCACTCTAGAATTATCCTAATTATCCAGGAAACTAGAAATCACTGCCCACTTTGAAGACTTTTCCCCAAACGTATAAAAAATAAACATGCAAGTTAAAAAGTAAATAAGAGAGCAAAACTTTTAGGGCTTGGAAGTTGGCTCAGTGGTAGAGTGCTCGCCTTGCATGCATGAGGCATTAGGTTCAATTCCTCAGTACCACATAAGCTGAAAAAGCCAGAAGTGGCACTGTGGCTCAAGTAGTAGAGAGCTAGCCTTGAGCTGAAGAGCTGAGGGACAGCACCTGGGCCCAGAGTCCAAGCCCCAAGACAGACAAAAAAAAAATTTTTTTTTACAGAAAATTAGGTTTGAAACATCAATTTCGTGTACACACACACATAAACTTTTATAGTGCACTGAACCACATATATCTGCCAATATTTCAATGTTTTTTGACCTAGGAAGATGGTTTTTGTATGATATAAGCTAATCATATATAGAAAAACAAGTTTGTTTTTGAGGGGGGAGGAGAACTGGGGAATTGAACTCAGCTGTAAACTCTTTGTCCTATCACTGAGCTACATACACAGCCCCAGAAAGAATTATTTTCAGAGTTAAAACAGACAACTCTGATTCTTTCCAAATGCAAAAACCTGAGATTACAGATTCTTTTCATTTTGTTTTTTAAATCAGCTTTCTTGCAGGGAGGGCTCTCTAAAAGACAAGGACACCCAGTCTTGTGTTTTCTATAATCCTTTCGTGAGGCTGCTTCATTTCTGAGGGACTGAGAACTGGTTTTTGTTTTTCTTTTTACTGGTTTGGGTTTTTCAGTGAAGATCAGGCACAGGCCTTGGGCTGGCTAAGCAGTAGGTCTTATCAACACCCATCAACTTTCAATGATCTGTGTATTGACTATCAATCAGTTTTATTGATACAACATCATGGTTGAGGAGCTGAGAAAATACAGAATATTAATGATCTGGCCCTTTAAGAAAAAGTCTCCTTCAGCCCTTGTCCTTGGGGTGTAGCTTCTGTTAGGAATTCTTACCCTTTTAGTACTAGCTACCCCTATGGCAATTTGGTGAAACCTAAGGGTCTTTTGTGTAATATTATTTGAAAATAGAACAGAAAGAAAAGAGGAGCCATCGCTGGTGGCTCATGCCTGTAATCCTTACTACTCAGGAGACTGAGATCTGAGGATCACGGTTAAATGCTAGCCCAGGCAGGAAACTCCATAAGACTCTTATCACCAATAAACCACTAGAAAACCGCAAGTGGCGCTGTGGCTCAAGCAGTAGAGCGCTTGCCTTGAGCTGAAGAGCGCAGTCACAGTACCCAAGCCCCATGACCGACAAAAAAAAAAAAAAAAGAAAAGAAAGAAAGAAAAGACGTAAACAATTATAATTATCAAAGATTTTGTATCATATTATTTGTTGTCATAACTAGTCTTATGCTCACTGTAGTTATCAAAATATCAGTTATAGTGAAAATATAGTTATAGCTATCAAAATATTACAAATAATTTGTAGTATATATGTGAATTCATGTTTTTGGATACAATTACCTAATGTAGCGCCAGGGCTGCTAAATCCTATCTTTTCAAAGTAGCCATAGAATAGCAGTTGTAACAAATGAATAAAGATCTAACACTGTTTTGTGATTTTCTTGGTAACTAAGTTACAAATAATGGTATTTTACCCACAAACATGAACGTGTCTATGTGTATGTGCGTTGTCTATATTCACAATTAAAACAAATACTACCATAGAGACACTTGTGAAAGGAAAGGTGTATCATTCCCCCATCCAAGGTCATCTTATCCATGAATCCCTTTGTTTTTTTTGTGAATCCTAGATTAATAGTGTCCACTCTAGGCTGGAACTATGGCTCAGTGGTAGAGCACCTGCCTAGGAAGCCCAAGGCCCAAAGTTCAAATCCTAGGTACCACCAAAAAAAAAAAAAAACCCACACAACTATGTACATCATCCTAGATATCACAAAGGGAGTGGTAGAGGTTGGCTCCTTCTTAAGGAAGGATGAAAAAAAAAATTCCTTTAGATTTTTCTACCCTGCCCCAAGAAAGTAATTTTGGTCCTCAAATGTCGGCAGTGTACAGGCAGAGCCTCTATTCTATTTCTACTGAGTCACCTTCAATCTTTCTCCTTCCTCTTCAGTCAGCTGATTCGATCCCATTTGCTGACAAGCCTCTTCAGTCCACTCATCGATGATGTTTTTCAAATTAAAAAGTTTGTCCCACAAAGCCAGAGCTCGGCCAAGCTTCTCATAGTGCTCTTCTGTCTTCTCATTCATCTACCATAATTTAAATCCGAAGGAATTCAGACAGGTGAAAAAATGTGAGAACCATCATTTCAATCAAACAACAGTTTTAAAATTAAAGTTTACCATAAGCAGCTGAGTGAGTTGCTTTATTTACCAATAACAGTCACTTAAGTGACTAAAACAAAAACAAAACCCACCAAACTTTGTAAATATACATGCAATTAAAAGCAACAGTGGGCTGGGAAGGTGGCTCAGTGGTAGAGTGCTTGCTTTGCATGCATGAGGCCCTGGGTTCGATTCCTCAGTACCACATAAGCAAAAAGAAAAAAGCCAGAAGTGGCGCTGTGGCTCAAGTGGTAGAGCGCTAGCCTTGAGCTGAAGAGCTGAGGGACAGCGCCCAGGCCCAGAGTTCAGGCCCCACGACCGGACCCAAAATAAAAAAATAAAAAATAATAAATAAAAAATAAAAGCAACAGTATTCCTGATATCTAAACTACATTATTTTTAAAAAAAATCTTTTAGAATGAAGATGGAAAAACAAACCACAGATAAATTCTTAGTTTGTACTTCATAAAGATATCATTTTTGCCCAACCAAAAATGTATGCTGTATATAGTTGAAAAAAATCACCATCCTAAGGTATTAAATAACTATGTACTTCTTCTATACCTAGAAGATTACAAACTCAATTGTTAGTACTGCCTAACTCTGGGGTAAAGTTAATTATTAAGTTTAAACTTTGTAGTATTCAAACATTTTTTTACAATGACTATAGTTTAATTTTCCAATTATATAAAAATATTAAAGACACATTCAAAAAGTACCAGTTCAATTGTTTACAAAAGAGAAGTTGCAACCAATTAAATTACCACCTACATCAAGCCATCTATCCACAAGGACATTAGCCTCTTTTTCAAAAGGAGGCTCTTCAAAGGCTTTCATTTTGTTTAGATGAAATTGAAGGTTTTTGCAGATCTGGTTTATCTTGTCTATCACTTCTAAATGCTCATTGAATTCTTGTTTGACAGTTTCAATCTGTAAAAAAGGAAAGATGTTTTTGATATATTGGCATAGATAGCACATAAGCATAACGCTGTACTTCTTCTACATGCAGAGAACCTTCTTGCTGTACTGGTACAGTGGAGCACTGAGTGAGGAAGACAGAGAGGATGGCAGGTGCTTCTAGCACCGGAGGAAACAGTGACTTTGTCCTACATTGGGCGCCTGGGGTGAATGGGAGGGGGTCACTCCCACACTGCCATTTCCCAAACAGTGATGCTCTGTCATTCTAGCCTTTTGGTCTTTCTTTTGCATTTGTCTTTTATTAAAGAGAGTGGAAATTCAGCACGGTATCCTAGCTAAACATCCAGGTTCTGGTGATGTTGAAGGACAAACATACTCAGTGGTACCACATATGGGTCACCGGGCCAAAACACCAGGAAGATGAAGTAACTGACTGTGTGCGCAAACAGTCCTAAGTTATCACCAAATAACTGGAAGTTTTCTTCCTTTTCTCTTTCTTTCATCTTTTTAAAATTTATTTATTGTTGGTCATGGGGCTTGAACTCTGGATCTGGGTGCTGTCCCTGAGCTCTTAAGCTCAGGGCTAGCATTCTACCTCTTGAGCCACAGCACCACTTCCAGCTTTTTCTATGTATATGGTACTGAGGAATTGAACCCAGGGCTCCATGCATGCTATGCAAGCACTCTACCACTAGGCCACATTCCCAGCCCACTTTCTTTCTTTCTTCCTTTTTTTCTATCTTTGTTGGTCATGGTGTTTGAACTCAGGGCCTGAGCACTGTCCCTGAGCTCGTTTGCTCCAGGCTAGTACCCTATCACTTTAAGCCACAGCTCCACTCCCATTTTCTTGTGGGATTTCAAGTTTTCTTAATTAAAGGTAAGAGTCTCAGGGACTTTCCTGCCCAGGCCAGATTTGAACTGCAATTCTCAGGTCTCAGCCTCCTGAGCAGCTAGGCTTTCAGGATTGAGCTACTAGAGCCCAACTGTAAATTTTTTTAATGATCACGACTAGATTTCCTTTTTAAAAAACTCTGTGAAAAGATCTAAGCTTCTGTGCTAAAACTTCAAGACTGTTCCACAAAGTAATGTATTTTAATAGATATGTAAGCTATATGTGTATGAAGGACACTATACTAGATATAGTCTCAATAAAATGAGAAAGTCCTTTATTGTTATACATTCCTTAAAGCTATTTAAATCATAAAACTCGTTTATCTACTGATTTATCTATTTATTTACTGTGCTGATACTTAGGCTTGCCTCAAACTCTCACTTAGTTTTTTCATTCAAGGTTGGGGCTCTGCCACTTGAGCCACACCTCCACTTCTAGTCTTTTGCTGATTAAAAGTCTCATGGGCTTTTCTGCCAGAGCAGGCTTCAAACCCCAATCCTCAGATCTCAGCCTCCTGAGTAGCTAAGATTGTAGGTGTGAGCCATAAACCTCAAACACACATAATACTATTATTTATATTTGGTCTGTATGGCTTCTGGGTTTTCTGAGTCCAGAAGCAAGTCACTCAATGGACACACAAGATGCGAGGCTAATCAAAACACTGAAGATAAAGGCAACCAGCAAAACTGTAAAGTGTTGCAATAAACATTTAGGTATTTGGTATTAAGGACTGCCTCTATTTCTTAGGAGTGAAATATTTGATCAAATGGCAGAAAGTTTTTGGAAGATCTTGAATAGGGTGATCCAAGTGTTTTCTAAAAGGGTGGAATGGTCAATTCATGCTAGCAATCTGCAGTTTAGTGAAGATGAGGTTGTAACAGGCAAAAAAAAAGCGACCCAACTGAGGAGCTGGGTGTCCTTTGGGAGTTCCTAGTGAGGTTTAAATATAATTCTTTTTGTCTATTTTTTAAAAAAAAATATTTGTTTTCAATTTATTTCTTATGAATAACCATTAGAGACTGGAGCATGGCTCAAGTGTGAGAAAGCTTGCTTAGCAAGTGTGAGGCTGATTTCATTTACTACAATTTCCAAACAAAAAAACCAAAACAACAACAGTGAAATCCAGGATCACCGTGTTTCTCTCAAGGATTTCCATAATTAAACCATATGCCATTCTAGTTACTGAAAATATTTACCCACTATATTTCCCACTATTATGTAAAAATTAAAATGTATAATAAATAATTTTGTGTATATGGGGTATAGTGAAGCAAAAGTTACTGCTAAAATATTATGGACAGATAAATATGAAGACTAGACATAGGAATAATTTATTAAAACCTCACATTCTTTGAACTATCCATGGGTAGAATTAATGTTGAAATGAGAAGGCATTAAAGCTTCATGTTATATAATAGGGAACTACAGAAAGGACTGGGTAGAGCTCATGATTAGCAGGTACCAGGCCCTAGGGTCAATCTACAGCACCAAAAAAGGTAGAGAAAAAAAAAATTTAACCTATAAAACATTACTCAATCATAAGAAAATATTCTGTTTGCAGAAAATGGATAGAATTTGATACTGGGTCAAATGAGTTAAGCTGAGAAGGAGAGGTTGGGAGGATAGAGGGTAAAGGAGAAAAATCACTGTAAGTTCAGTCAGGTGGCTCATACCTGAAATCGTAGCTACTCAGAAGGCTGAGATCTTAGGATCTCAAGACAAGAAGCTGGAAGTGGAACTGTGTTTCACATGGTAGAGGGACAGCTAAGAAAGAGCATGAGGCCCTCAGTTCCAATCCCAGTAATACACACACACACACACACACACACACACACACACACACACACACACACACACACACAATATGTTAAGTTCCAGACCCTGGATCTAGATGCCTCTGCTAGGAGATTGACAATGTACCTCCCAAATCAACAATGGCTGCGTTCTGCTACTACTAACAGAAAGTAAAGTTGTGTTGGGGACACAACAGAGGGTAAAGCGTGTTGGGGGCACAACAGAGGGTAGACTCAAGCCCAGGGGATCTGTGATGATCTGTGAAAATGATCCCAGAACCTCCTTTAGGCTAGTGGCTCAAGGACAGAACATCCCAGCCAACAACCAGGCACACCATGAGCTGCTTCTGTTTCAGGGAGGCAGCCACGTCATCTCAGAGAAGTTCCAACGCACTCTCCACTCGGGAGCCTGTGGTCTCCTTCATGAAGGCCAATAGAGAGCCAGCCCCATGGTCACCTATTGCACCCTGACGCCCAAGCAGGGTCATCACTGCTGGCTAGGCAGCTCCAACACAGCTGAGAAGGTGGGATCCAAACAAGGACTATTCTTGACACTCTGGGTGTTGCTGGAAGGGTAGGTGAATAATTCTAGATGGAGACCAAATTATCTGAAAGACGTCATTTATTTACATTTCCACTTCATTGTGCCCATGTCTAAGAAATCTAAATGCTTTTCTACCACCAGGTTTGTCATGCCTGAGCTCATTGCTCTGAACACAGAGGAAAAGCAAGTTCCTAATAGAGGGCTGCACACAGGGAGGTATGGCACATTCTTTCCGGTGTCATTCTCCTGCACAATCCTAGGAAATAATGACATCTAGTGTCCAAAACAGATACTTTCTTTAGCAGGTGGAGCTGAGACTGGTGAGGCTCCACAGACAGAGTAACCAGGAAGTCAAGCTCACACTGCGTGACAGAAAAGTCACCCATCATTTTCCCCACACCACTTTATTCCCCTGAGCTGCTGGGAACCAAGGACCCAGCATCAAAATCACCCAGCAACCAGTGACCAACCAGGGGCGGCCTGCTTTTAACTGACTGGTAATAAAGAACAGTTGAGAGCGGGAGGTCAGTCATAGGGCTTGCACTCAGAGCCTGGGCACGGTCCCCTGATCTCTTTTGCTCAAGGCTAGCACTCTACTACTTTGAGCCACAATACCACTTCCGGTTTTCTGATGGTTAATTGGATATGAGAGTCTCACAGACTTTCCTGGGGAAAGGCTTTGAACAGTGACCCTCAGATCCTCAGATCTCAGCCTCCTGATTACAGGTGTGAGCCACTAGCACCTGGCTATATAATTTCTTAGATATCTGTTAAAATAGAGTTACTAAGTAGTTTCTCTTTGGGGAGGTGAGATGGTAGTAGTGGAGCTTAAACTCAGGGCCTTGTGATTTCCCTCAGCTTTTTTTTTTTGCTCAAAGTTAGCCACAACTCTATTTTCGACTTATTTTTTGTTAGTTGATTAGAGGTAAGAGTCTTATGGACTGTTCTGGCCAGGCTGGCTTTGAACTGTGATTCTCCGATCTCAGCCTCCTGAGTAGCTAGGAACTAAGATTTTTCTTTTTTTTTTTTGCCAGTCATGGGCCTTGAACTCAGGGCCTGGATTATGTCCCTGAGCCTCTCTATGCTCAAGGTTAGTACTCTATCACTTGAGCCACAGCATCACTTCTGGTCTTTTCAGTTTATGTAGTACTGAGAAATCCAACCCAGGGATTCATGCATGCTTCATAAGCATCTACCACTAAGCCACATTCCCAGCCCAGTAATTTCTTTTAAACCAAGTTTCCACAGTGATTTCAGTTTTAAAACCCTCTTCCCTCTCAGCCTCATGTGTGGACTGTGGAGTGGAGTTTTCAATCTTGGGCCAGGGGCTCACCTCTGCTATCCTTTTCTTCAGGTTGTCCTTTCCCATGTAAGAAGGCTGCAGGGAGAAGACATTCTCTTCTTTCTGAATCAAAGTTGTCAAAACACTTTTGTAGTTCTGATACTGTTTTAAGAGTTCCAATACTCTCTCACATTGTTCAAGACTACGATGGGAAAAAAAAGTGAAATAAGTATCTAATAATTAAAAGAAAATATTATTTTCCTATATATTTTACAATAATAACTATTACGTCATAAAAGACTTTCCTTCTAATGGTTCTTTATCCACATATCTTAAGATTAATGACACACATATATTTATCTGGCAGTCAGATAGTAGAAATAATCACCAAGTTAGCACTGCCACTGAATCAACAATAAAAAGTTAACAGGAAGTTCTAGAGAGAAATACAGAATTTATAACCCTCATTTCAATTGCATCATTAACCAAAAGCAGTACTTGGAAAATAGTATGGCTATATATGGTGGCACATTCCTGTGATCTCGGAAGCTTTTGGGAACAAGAGACAGGAAGATCTGGAATTCACGGACAGGCTGAGCTACATAGTAAGCTCAAAGCCAACCTTTAACTTTGGCCAACCAAAATTACAAGGTGAGACTCTTGTCTCAGAATACACATGCAGCCAGGACACTGGTGAATCACGCCTGTAATCCTAGCTACTCAGGAGGCTGAGATCTGAGGATGGTGGTTTAAAGCCAGCCCAGGCAGAAATGTCCCCATGAGACACTTATCTCCAATTAACCACTCAAAAACTGGTAGTGGCGAGTCAGGCACTGGTGGCTCACACCTGTAATCCTAGCTACTCAGGAGGCTGGGATCTGAGGATCACAGTTCAAAGCGAACCCAAGCAGGGAAGTCCATAAGACTTAACTCCAATTGACCACCAGAAAAATCAGAAGTTCTGCTGTGTCTCAAAGTGGAAACCTAGAGCACAAAAGCTCATGGACAGTGCCCAGGCCCCGAGTCCAATACCCACAACCAGGAAAAGTAAAACACAAAAAATGCACATACCAACAAAACAAAATAAATAAAGTGAAACAAGACAACTAAGGCATCCCTAGCAGCTTGCTTATGGGAATGTTTACTAATTCTAGATTAGGTGCTTTGTAGACGGTAAAATAAAGTAGATGAAAGCCAGAGGCAGGCTTTGTCTCATTGTCTGTCTTCTCAGGTTCCTGTGGAACACAGGAAGTGTATCAGCTAGGATCCTAAGAGAGGGTGGGGAGAGGACCATGGGAAGTCCAAGGAGAAGTTGAGACACCCAGAGCACACAGGCCATGTAGAAATGAAGGGGAGGGGGGCTGCCCTGAGCTTCACACCACGCACTCACCCCTGTATCCCCCTGTGCGTTCCAGTGTGGAAAATGGTACTCGCGTTTGCCCCTCAGGCAGGGCCAGTGCTGTGTTTCCCACAAACCTTTTCAAAATATTCGTGGTATATAGACACCTATTCCATTTCTGAAGGGAGTTACTGCCCTTACCATTCTGTGACAGAAGCTTTGGTGCTCTCCCACAGCAGCACTGTACTGTGGCACTTCTGATTCAGAGATTTCTCTCGGCCATCTTGGAATTGTGGGAGAGAGTTAGCCATTTCTTGTAGCATTTTCTTCTCTTCCTCATAGCCCTCTAGCTCCTCGTCCAGCCTGAGTAATGACTTTTTCCTTGATTGTGGGTAAGAAACGTTTATTAGCACATTGTGAAACCATTTGGTTTGACATAAATACAGGAATTTGGGGGAATATACTAGTTTTACTTTGACCTCATGAGGTAAGGTCTAAAACGCCCATTCCTAATACAGAAGTGGGGAGGCTCTATGCATTTCTAGAATGCTAATTTGCTTTTTGGGTTTGGGTTTTTCTTTGGGAAAGGGGATGGTTTATTTATTTTTATTCTCATTATATCATATAAAACATATATATATGTGTGTATATACATACAGATCTAGATATATGACATATATTGGTAGTACTAAGGTTTGAACTCAGGGCCTCATGCTTGCCCGGCAGATACTCTTATCACTTGAGCTCTAAAACTGCTTCTCCCACAGCTAGAATGATATGGGAATGAATGGAATGGCCTCTGAGCCCATCCATTGGTTGAGATGGAATCTTGTGGAACTTTACTGCCAGAGCTAGTCTCAAATCATGATCCACCAATCTCTAGCTCCAAGTAGTGAGAATTACAGTAGTGAGCCACCATGCTCAACTTGATTAGGTAGTTTAAATAAATATGATAAATACAAAACCATACACAGAACATATTTGTGAAACGTTCACAGGCATGCAAGGGGAAAATAGAGAGCACCTGTGTGAATGTGTGTGGCAAAGAAAGCACGGCATGGTGAGGAGTAAACATGGTGCACACCTATTATCCCAGCTACTCTAGAGGCAGACGAAAGAGAATTGCAAGCTGAGGCTCACCCAGGCAAAAGCAAAGTCCTTGTCTGAAAAACAAACTTTAAAAAAAGCAAAAAGAATGGGGCAGGGCTGAAGTGGCAGAGTACCTGCCTAGCAGGTGTGAAATCCAAGGTTCAAAGTCTACTACCTCAAAAAAAAAACAGCCAGAAACAAAAACAGTATCCAAGACAGAGAAGGCTGCCAATTCCTTTTTTGTTTTCTGTTGTTGTTGTTGGTTATGGGGATTGAATTTACAACCTGGGTGCTCAAGGCTAATGCTTTACCACTTTGAGCCACAGCACCACTTCCGGTTTTCTGGTATTAATTGGAGATTAATAGACTTTCCTGCCCCGGCTGGCTTTTGAACTGCAATCCTCAGATCTCAGCTGCTTAAACAGCTAGATTAAGGCTAGGGCTGCCAATTCTAAGTTTCTAGACCACCCATCTTAGCTTGCCTCTTGGACCTAGCTTCCTGCCCCTTCCCTCTGTAATACTGTTGGAAAGGAGGACACCAAATCACTAAGGAAGTACAAGATGAGGACAAGATGGGGTCAGGGATCTGCCTCCACTTGTTCCTTTAATAGCAAATGTGTGGGGGCCTGCCAGGTTTCTGTCCCTATGATAACTCCACATCAACACAGAGGAGCACAGGGAACTTTGAAGTAATGCAGATCAGGGAGAAGACACACTTTCCTTGAGAAAAGAAAAAAAAATAGGGAACATTTTTGTAGAGGTATCACTGCAGTAAAAAAGGAAATTTAGCCAGGTGCTGGTGGTTCATGCCTATAATCTTAGCTATTCAGGAGGCCATCCCAGGCAGAAATGACTGAGATTCTTATCTCCAACTGATGATCAGAAAACCGAAAGTAGAGCTGTGGCTCAAGGTGGTAGAGCACTAACTTTGAGCAAAAGAGCTCAGGGACAGCTCCCAGGTCCTGAGTTCAAGCCCTATGACCCAATCAAAAAAAAAAAAAAAAAAGAAGAAGAAGAAGCCAGGCGCCGGTGGCTCACACCTGTAATCCAACTCAGGAGGCTGAGATCTGAGGATCTCAGTTCAAAGCCAGCCTGGGCAGAAAAGTCTGTGAGACTCTTATCTCCAATAAACCACTAGAAAACCAGAAGTGTCGCTGTGGCTCAAGCGGTAGAGCGCTCGCCTTGAGTTGAAAAGCGCAGGGACAGCACCCAAGCCCAGAGTTCAAGCCCCACGACCAACCAGGAAAAAAAAAAGATTAGGAATAGCAAATAGAGAATGTCAGATAAAATAGCAATAGAAAGAAAGGAAAATATGAAGGTTCTTCTGGCTGGAAAAGTATCTGTTCTTACCGAAGCTTGACAGCAGGAACAGTAGCATCCTTTAGGCCAATTTTACCAATCTGACTCTGCACATCTTGAATATTCTTAAAGAGCTCATCATTTCTGGAAGCACAAGCTGCTAACAATTTGTTCTCCTCAGGAAGTTCCTCCTGTTCACTGTGGCCATGTGCCTCTAATAACTTCACAGACAGCACATCAAGAAGTTTCTCACATGAGATATGTTCGCCTCCATCAGCCTCTGTCATATTTATATGAAGCATCTTCAAGCGGTCGTCCAAAAGCCTGGCTTCCTCTTTCATGGGATGAATTTCACTCTGTATATCTTGTACTGTCCAAGTCTTCTGGGGGACTGCTTCTATCTCTGAGGCAGAAAGATCTGTAACAGGTTCAACAGAGAGCTCCAGTGTTCTTAGAGAAGATAAAAAGTCTTCCAGAGCTTTCAGGGCATCTTGTTGGATCTGGACTTTATGGGTCACTGTCTCCAGTTGTGTTTTACATTGCAGAATAATATCCTGTATTTCATGCAGATCCAGTGGGTGTAACAGCTTTAAAAATAAGTTGTCTGGCTCTTCTAATTTGGTAAACATTTTGATGCGTGAAGCAATAGAATCTTGGATATCCTACAATTAAAAAAAATTAAGCTGAAAAGACAGAGGCAGAAGAAAGAAACTTGCATGCTGGAAACAAATCCCCACCACATGACTAGAATTCATCTACAAAAAATGCTCCTGAGTTTAACCCAAACTGACAATTTCAACATAAGTAAGCATTCCATTATAAATGAACAGATGTCTGGACCATTTCATTATCTGATACCCTTCTTGATGGTCAGTCCTCTAAAGAAATATAATGCCAAGGAAATAATTAGAGACAGTGGCAAGATCTATTTTATAATCTGAAAAATATTTTTTACTTAAGACCAGATCTGTCCAAGAGGAGATGGCTCATACTTATAATCCTAGCTAGTCAGAAGGCTGAGATCTGAGGATTGCAATTCAAAGCCAGACTGGGCAGACACTCTAATCTCCAATTAACCAGCAAAATGTTGGAAGGAGATGTTTGTCTCAAGTGGTAAAGAAACAACTTTGACCAAAAAAGCCAGGTAAAAGCATGAAACCCTGAGTTCAAGCCCCAGTACTGGCACACACACAAAAAAAGGATGTGAAACAAACAGTAGAATATTCTATTTAAGCTTATGAATCTAATATGATGTTCAATACCTGAAGAAGGTATTTACTCAAGGCAATGAAAATATCCCATTATTATTCCTTGATACTTATCTCCAAACTTACAAAGAACTGGAAAACTGAGAAATAAGTCTAAATAATTGACTTTTCTACCATAGTTTATAGTCTATATGATAAAAAAAAAAAACAATAACCCCATAAGCATTGTAAATCTCTGAGGAATTGGTAATTCTATAACACTGTGAAAAATTACTTACCTTCATGGATTGATAGAGGCCGTCAGCATCAGTAAGAAGAAACTCATTTACAGTCACTGCAAACCCAGCCAGCTCCAAGTTGCACAGCTTGAATGTCTCTTCTAATGGGAGTACAAACTGCAGCGCCATCTCTAAAGACTCAATTCTGGGTGGGAAATAAGCCATCCATGAAGGAAAGAGCAGAAGATAACTTACAATTAAACAAGAGCAGGAAATGGTTACTCAAGAAAAATGTCTATCATGATCGGTATGATCTAAAATGCCAAAAGACTGGTTTCCCCAGCAATTATGAGACCCAACTAAAAATAAAATGTTAGCACAGCCAGGCACCAGTGGCTCACGCCTGTAACCCTAGCTGTTCAAGAAGCTGAGATCTGAGGATCGTGGTTTGAAGCCAGTCAGGGCAGCAAAGTTTATGAGACTCTTATCTCCAATTAACTACTCAGAAAAAGCCAGAAATAGCATTGAAGATCAAGTGGTAGAGTGTTACCCTTGAGCAAAAGAAGCTCAGTGACAGTACCGAGGTCAGAGTTCAAGCCCCAGGACTAGCAAAAAATAAGGAATTTAGGTCACTGGGAGCATAATTTTGAGGGGATAATGGGAAGCCCAGCTCCTGGATGTCTATTCACCCGCCAGTCACCAGGTCCCTCCTGTCATGAGATAATGTGCATGCCCCCCAAATAACAAGGCCAAGGAACCAGGGACCAAAAGCTCTGAAACTGAGAGCCAAAAATAAATCTTCTCCTTTATTATGTTCACTTATCTCAGGTATTTTTGTTAGAGAGACAAAAAACTGACTAACAATAATAACCTCTTTTATAGCTGCAATGACTAAATAACTTAGGCTAGTAATAGTTTAAAAATTACCTCTGAAGTTCTAGCAGGTTTATTCATGTCACGATTAATAAATCTCAGAAATATACCTGGTATGAAGAGGCGTCTGAAGTGCGTTTGCTTTTTCCTTTAATCTGTCTCTGGCCTTAACTATGTCAGCCTTCTCTTCATCACTCACTTCACTTTCTAACTTCAGAGAAGTGACTTCAAACTCTTTCCACTGAGCATCCATTTCCATTTTCAAGACCTAGAGGAAACATATAAATTCATCTATGAACTACTGGGTCAAAGGTACATTATTTCTTTTCTTACAAACCAAGACGATCACCAACAATGGGAACAAGCTCATATTTTCACATGAAAATATATATTTAAAATATATCACCAGGTGCCAGCAGTTCACACCTGTAATCCCCTACTCAGGAGGCTGAGATCTGAGAATCAAAGTTCAAAGCCAACCTGGGCAGAAAAGTCTGTGAGACTCTTATCTCCACCAGAAAACTAGAAGTAATGCTGTGGCTCAAACTGGTAGAGCACTATCCTTGAGCTAAAGAGCTCAAGGACAGAGTCCAGGCCTTGATTTCAAGCCCCACAATGGCGCATACACACACACACACACACACAATGGCGCATACACACACACACACACACACACACACGCTTGTTTGTATATAAAACGTATCTAGATATGAACAAACCAACTTTTTTTTGGTCAGTCTTGTAGCTTAAGATCAAGGCCTGGGCACTGTCCCTGAGCTTCTTTTGCTCAAGGCTAGCATTCTACCACTTGAGCCACAGCACCATTTCTGGCTTTTTCTGTGTATGTGGTGCTGAGGAGTCCAACCCAGTGCTTCATGCATGCTAGGCAAGCACTGTACCAGCCCATTAAATATTTTATAACAGTGAACAAATTAACTATTTTATGAAAAATAATGACCCACGAATGAAATTAGGGAAGGTGGTCGTGTGGCTTTCAAAGTTATCTAAACTCATGTCCCCTTAGATAGAGAGACACACTGATGTGAGAACAGATATTCTATTTGCCAGCTAGTGTGTGTGTGTGTGTGTGTGTGAGAGAGAGAGAGAGAGAGAAACATGAGAAAGAGAATGTGTATGAGAGAGAGAGAGAGCTCACTACAGGTCTTGAAGTCAGGACCTGGACACTGCCAGCTTTTTCTGTTCAAGGCTAGCTCTGCCACTTGAACCACAGCTGCTCTTTCAAGTTTTTAGTAGTTACCTAGAGATACGAGTCTCACGGACTTCCCCACCTGGACTGAATCCTCAGACCCTCAGTCATCTTTCGATCACTGTCTGTTTGCTACCACACACAGTAAACTAGTTCATTAATTTGGGAGCAACCCAGGATCATGTTGAAATGCCTTCAAATACATTGTCTCTAATCAGTTCATTTGAAGTTCACAGCACAATCAAAAACTATAAGCCACAATATGTGAAGTAGCAGAGGTTGATCATGCAATAAATTAGAATCCTGAACCAAAAATCTCTTTCTTGGGTTTGGTACTTGAAAACAAATCACCAAGTGCCCAGGTCCAGAATTCAAGCCCAACCACTGCCAAAAATAAAATCACAAATAGGATATCCATTAGAAATTATATCCAGACTGGGATATCCAGTAGAAATGGAATCCAGACCTAGTGGTAGAGTGCTTGCCTAGCATGCATGAAGCCCTGGATTCAATTCCCCACTACCATATAAACAGAAAAAGTTGGAAGTAGTGCTGTGGTTCAAGTGCTAGCCTTGAGAAAAAGAAGCTCAGAGACAGTGCCCAGGCCCTGAGTTCAAGCTCTGGGACTGGGAAAAAATGAAATCCAGGTTGGAGGCATTGCTCAACAGTAGAGCATCTGCTTGCAAGTGCTGAGTTCCTGAGTGCCTAAGTTCAAGCTCCAGCACTATGAAGGAGGAAGAGAATGGGGAGAAAGAGAAGAAGAGGAGGAGAAAGAGGAAAAAAAGGATGAAAAAGAAAAGACAAAAAGGAGAGGAGGAGGAGGAGAAGGAAGAGAAGGAGGAGGAGGAAGAAAAGGAGGAGGAGGAAGAAAACGTGAAGAGGAAGGGAAAAGGAGGGGGAGGGAGAGAGATGCAATCGAAGGAAAAGAATTCCTGGAAACCATCTTGTGTGTGTGATGTCCACACACATGGCAAAATTATTTTCTAATCAGAGAGACAACTTGGGGCTCACCTGCAGCTCACTCAGTTTCCTCTGAAGACAGCCACCGCTCCCTCTCTCTTCAGCGGGAAGCTCAGAAGAAATCCTGAGTTCGGCATTTTGCAGATGCACTTCAAGGTTTTCCTTTTGTGTATCATACCTGAGAAAGAATTAAATGCAACATCCCTTAACTTAAAAAAAAAAATAGAAGATACATGTGTAGTAGTGCACATGAGGAAATCCTGGAAAAATTCTGGTTAATTCACAGGGCCACACGCAAAAAAATATGATGAGAGAATAAAACTGTTTTTAAAGTGTAACAGGTGGCTCAAGCCCTGTAATCCTAGCTACTGAGGAGGCTGAGATCTGAGGAACACAGTTCAAAGCCAGCCCAAGCAGGAAAATCCTTGAAACTCTTATCTCCAATAAACCACTCAGAAAACTGGAAGTGGAGCTGTGGCTCCAGTGGTAGAGCTGAAAAGCTGAGGCAGGCCCAGAGTTCAAGCCCCACGACAGACAAAAAAAAGTGTAACACATTCTCACTGATGGGAGATTTTTAGTGGCTGTTTCTCTCCACGCTCCTCCCAAACCACTGCCAACACCCCCTCGTCCCCCAGTCCTTTAATAAGAATCCATTTACCTGTCTTGTAAGTTACCCATAGAGACATCGTGATCTTTGTCATGCTGCTCCATGGAGCTGGCTTCTTGTTGAAGCTGTATCTCTGATGCCAGGCTGAAATTCTGAATGGCTTCCATTTCCTAAGCAAATATACAAAATGGTAAATTTAATACCTTTTTTTTCTTCTGATGGTGGGACTTGAACTCAGGACTTTTGCTCATTTCACTTGCTTGTTCAACTGTCACTCTGTCACTTGACCAGGCTTCCAGCCCAGCTTTTGCTGATTATTTTGGAATCAGAGTCTCATGGACTTTTTTTTTTTAAAACTGTGATCCTCTGTATCTTCACTTCCTATTTATCTAGGATTATAGTTGTGAACCACTGGTGCCTGGCTAAACATAGTATCTTCAACAAATTGTAAAAGCTATATATATCTCTGATTGTTAACATCCCAAACAAGGAGATGATACAATTTCTCTGAGATTTCTTAGTTCAGAGACCACAGGACAGAATAGACTTAAACTGAGTGTCACCTTCTAATAGGAAGCAAACAAAACTACTAAGCTGGGGCACTAGTGGCTCACACCTGTAATTACAACTACTCAAGAGGCTGAGGTCTGAAGATTAAAGTCCAAAAGCAAACTAGATAGGAGAGTTCATGAGAGTTTGATCTTCAACTAACCACCAAAAAGCCAGAAGTAGGGCTGTGGCTCAAGTGGTAGAGCACTAGTCTTGAGCAAAAAAACTCAGGGATAGTGCCCAGGCCCTGAGTTCAAGACCAAGGACTGACACTAAAAAATAGGGAATACCATCAGCCTCCAAATGGACTTCCTGTTTAAGACATCATGGTCACAATCAAAAGTAGACCGAGGACCAGAGATGTGGCTCAAGTGACACAGAGCCTCACAAGTAACACACCCTGCATTCAGTTTCTGTCCCCTAAAACACATAGACAGAAGTCTATCATGGAGAAACAAACATCTACAAAGGGGTTTTGTTGTTGTTGTGGTTGTTGTTTGGTTTGGATTTTTTGCTGGGCCTGCGGCTTTAACTCAGGGTCTGGGTGCTGTCCCTGAGCCTCTTTGTGCTCACCCCAGCACTCTTATCACTTGAGCCACAGTGCCACTTCCAAAGCTTTTTCTGGTCAGTTTATTGAAGATAAAGAGTTTCATGGACTTTCCTGCCCTGGCTGGCTTTGAACAGTGATCCTCTGATCTCAGCCTCCTGAGTAGCTAGGATGATAGGCATGAGCCACTGGCATCCAGCTAAAACAAAGGCTTCTTATTCCCTCCCTAGAGGTTCTGACTGGCAGGTTGGAATATATGGTCTTATAGTAAATACTAACTGACCTAATGTTAAGAATTCAGAATGTTCGAACATGGCTATGCCTGGACCAAGGATGAGGAATTAGCTCTACCCTAATGGACAGGAGGTGTCTGTGCAGACCAAGCTCAGCCTGTAAAGAACACAGACAAGTAGTCTTCATAATGTGTTCTTTGTCCACATCCTCACAGATCTACACTTGTCTGCATCCTCATCTCCATTCTTGCGTGGCTTTTACACTGAATCTACTCTTTCTTCTTCTTTTTTTTTCCTTTTTTTGCTAGTACTAGGACTTGAACTCAGGGTTTGGGTGCTGTCACTTAGCTTTGTCTCTCAAGGCTAGCATTCTACCACTTGAGCTACAACTCCTCATTCAGCTTTTCAGGGGGTTAGTTGGAGATGAACATCTCATTGACTTTCCTGCCTGGGCTGGCTTTGAACTGTGATCTTCAGATCTCAGCCTCTTGAATAGCTAGGATTACAGGCATGAGCCACCAAAACCAGGTTTGAGTTTGCTTCTGAAACACCTTATCCACATTGTACACCTTTTCAGTTGACGGCTGCTGCTCTTCTTCAAATGGCGCCTCACTAGTGATACTGTCCGTTGGGGTCACGGTCCCCCTAGGATCAAATAGAGACTGCATATTAGAATACAGTGGGAAACACAGAACCCAGAAGAACATGAATGCTACCTAGTGCTGATTGATTATTAGTGGCGAATCTTGGGAATTACTCACGGCCTTTCCAGTGTGCTACCAGATAAGGACTGCAACGTCTTGTGGATCTCAGAAGCACAGAGCAGAAGCCGGTCTATTTTCTGTTCATAAGCTTCGAGTGCTGTCTCCACCTCTGATTGTTTCTGCTGTGGAGTAAGCTCCTCGTACAAGGCCCTCAGCATAGCCATGTGGTGATGGAGCTGGCTCTGGAGACTCTCCTCAGAAAAGTAGGCCTAAAAGAGTAAGTTGAAGAGCTGGGAATGTGGCCTAGTGGTTGAGTGCTTGCCTAGCATGGATGAAGCCCCAGGTTCTATTCCTCAGTACCACACAGAGAAAAGGCTGGAAGTGGTGCTGTGGCTCAAGTGGTAGAGTGCTAGCCTGGAACAGAAGAAGCTCAGGGACAGTGCCCAGGCCCTGAGTTCAAGCCCCAGGACTGGCAAAAAAAAAAAAATTACAAGGTCTTGAATTCAAGGCTCAGTACCAGCATGTGCATACCACACACATCTGTGGTTCAAAAGGACAACTTTGATGGTAGAAAATGTTGTAGACATGGGAGGATCAGAAAGTAGAAATTCTGGAGGGGACTAGATATAATCTGGCATTAAGGCCAGATATAATCTCCATTAAGGCACAGTGAGAAGAAAGGAGGAGATCTGTGGGGGTAGGGAGGGTTGAGAGCCATGTCTCTCATACCGTGATGCACAACAGATGAGGAAGCAGTTAGTGAGAGAGATGACAGGGTGAGCTTCAGACACAGTGAATGCATGTCCCTGACCCTCTCATGGGAAAGATTTCACTGGAGGTAAAGACCCCTATGGAGGAGCCACAAGCAAGAACTAAGCACCGCCACAATGGAGACAGACACATTCCTTACCCCACAAGAAAATACAAACATTAAGATAACAGATGGTATGGGGACAGTTTTGAAGACTACAAAAAGGGGGATTCGGGGCTAGGAAGGTGTCTCAGTGGTAGAGTGCTTGCCTTGCGTGCATGAGGCCCTGGGTTCGATTCCTCAGCACCACATAAGCAGAAAAAGCTGGAAGTGGCACTGTGGCTCAAGTGGTAGAGCTCTAGCCTTGAGCTGAAGAGCTGAGGGACAGCACCCAGGCCCAGAGCTCAGGTCCCACAGCCGGCAATTTGTGTGTGAGCACACACACATGTGCATGTGTGGTATGTATAACACACACACACACACACACATAAAACATTTATCTATATAAGACGGAAAGCCACAACTGCAGATAGTGCAAGAGACAAGAAAAGAGGACCTGTTTTATCAAATACATAAAAGCAATCAGACAGGATAGAGTCCAAAAAAGATCACTAGACCTGTCCCCAAATTGCTTTCTATCCTGATGCACTCAGTCTTACAAAAGCTATGCTGCCAAGGACATGTGCCCTGATTAAAAACATCTAAATTCCACCATGGCTGACAGCGGAGTGAGCAGATATCAGGACAGAGGCCACTGAGATATATCAAGGAAATCAAGGGCTAGGAGCAAAGCCGTGGGACAGAGGGCATGCTTAGCATGTGAAAGGCTCTGCGTTCAAGCCCCAGCTCTAGGGTAGGAATCATGACATCATGAACTATTAACTTAATCACTTTCTTCACTATTGAAAAACTAAGAAGATACTAATTACAACCGAAGCCAACTAAATGACAATCGTTAGGGATGGGAGGGCTTAAAGCAATTTTGAAATTAGACCTAATCTTAGGCTAGAGATACAGACAATAATTTAAGATAAATGTCAAAAATAATGACAAAATTGTGGGGGACACAGACTTTTTTTTACCTCATGTTGCTGGATGAGACCCTTGACCCTCCGTCTACGAATAAGTTTCTTTTCTTTATTTATTTGCTTTTCAAGTTTTGCAATGTTGTCATTAAGCTTTCCTTTTTCAATATCTATTCTTAGTTGCTGAATATACAAAGAAATCTCATGATGAAGAGACTGTAAAAAGAAAAACATTAATTACAGAAACAATAAGCTGTACTTGCCATCAATATATTTATAGTAACAAAAAAAGAGCTGGGAAGGTGGAGCGCTTGCCTTGCATGCCTAAGGCCCTGGGTTCGATTCCTCAGCACCACATAAGTAAAAAGAAAAGAGCTGGAAGTGGCGCTGTGGCTCAAGTGGTAGAGTGCTAGCCTTGAGCTGAAGAGCTGAGGGACAGCACCCAGGCCCAGAGTTCAGGCCCCATGACTGGACCCAGAAAAAAAAAAAAAAGAAAGTTTAAACAATATTGTGAGTGCCCATGTCTTTTTTAATTAATTAACTTATTAATAATTAATAAGTTAATTAATTAATGCCAGTCCTGGAGCTTGAACTCAGGGCCTGGGCTCTGTTCTTGAGCTTCTCTGTGTTCAAGGCTAGCACTCTATCTACCACTTTTGGCTTTTTCCGTTTATGTGGTACTGAGGAATCAAACCCAGGGTTTCATGCACGCTAGGCAAGCACTCTACTGCTAAGCCACATTCCCAGCCCATGAACTATTTTTTTGTTTGTTTTTTGTTTTTTGTCAGTCATGGAGCTTGAACTCTGGGCCTGGCACTGTCCCTCAGCTTTTCAGCTCAAGGTGAGTGCTCTACCGCTTGAATCACAGCACCACTTCCCCATGAACTATTTTATAACAGTGGGTGATAAACAATATTGTGAGCACCCATGTGTCTTTTTTAAAAATGTGTTAAGACAGGGACCGGTGGCTCATGCCTGGAGGCTGAGATCTGGAGATTTCGGTTCAAAGCCAGCCTGGGCAGAAAAGACCCCCTGGACTCTTATCTCCAATTAACCACTCAAAAACTAGAAGTGGTGGGTGACTGGCCTAATAAGGATGCTAGTATGTATTGGTTAGGATATATTTCACATTTAAAAAAAAAATTTACCATTATGCCGCAGAACTTTTATTTCATCTTGGAGCCTAGATTACTATGCCAAATAAATGCATTATTTTTATAATGCAATAAAACAGAAAATAGGAAAAAAAAAAAAAAAAACAGAAGTAGAGTTGCGGCTCCCAGTGGTAGAGCACTAGCCTTGAACACAAAGAGGCTCAGTGACGGCACCCAGGCCTTAAGTTTAAGCCCCGCAACAGACCAAAAAAAAAAAAGTTAAAATATACCAGACCCTTCTAACAAGTGTTAAGTAATTATATAAAGAGGTTTCAATTAACCATATCAATTATAGGTACAATGCCTCCAGATCAATCAGATACCATTTTCCTACTTGAATATTCTGGCTCCGTGCTTGGCTGAATCCACATGTGTAGAACCCAAAAACAGGGTTGTAGAGATTAAATATATATGTATACATTTACAATATGAGTTAGCATTTATTGTGCACATCTCTGTAATAGATGATTTATGAAAATTATTTCAACGACCTGACAAAATTTGAGTCCTTTCCATTGTAATCAGTGAAGTTCTTAAAACTTAAGTGGCCTGTTCAGAGTCAGATGCTAAATCCAAATTTGTTTGTCCCCAAAACTCGGTACCTACTCCACTATGAAACGCTGTACAGGGGTTGGGAAGGTGGCTCAGTGGTAGAACGCTTGCCTTGCATGCATGAGGCCCTGGGTTCAATTCCTCAGCACCACATAAGCAAAAAGAAAAAAGCTGGAAGTGGCACTGTGGCTCAAGTGGTAGAGCACTAGCTTTGAGCTGAAGAGCTGAAGGACAGCGCCCAGGCCCAGAGTTCAGGCCCCACAACCGGACCCAAAAAACAACAACAACAACAACAAAAACACAGTACAGAAATGTGTCAGGAGCTAACCAGGAAACCAAAAAATGCTTTATGTGGTTTTCTTTTTTGCTGTTGTTAGTCATGGGGCTTGAACTTATAGCCTGATTGCTGTCTGGGAGCTCTTTTGCTCAAGGCTAGCAACTCTACCACTTAAAACACAGCTCCATTAGAGTTAAGAATCTCAAAGGCTGGGCATCAGTGGCTCACACCTGTAATCCTAGCTACTCAGGAGGATGAGATCTGAGGATGTGGTTCAAAGCCAGCCTGGGCAGGAAATGTCAAGAGACTCTTATCTCTAATAAACCACTCAGAAAACCACAAATGGCACTATGGCTCGTGGTAGAGTGCATACCTTGAGCTGAAGAGCTGAGGGACAGTGCCCAGGCCCTACAACCCACTTCTCCACCCCCCCCCAAAAAAAAAGTGTCTCATGGACTTTCCTGCCCAGGCTGGCTTTGAACTACTCTCCTCCCATCTCAGCCTCTTGTAGCTAGGATTACAGGCATGTGCCACCAGTGCCCAGCATGCTCTATATGTTTTTAAGCCTCAGAATATTAAACACAAGGAACCACTTGCAGCAGAGCTGAAAGCATGGACAAGCAAATGTCCTGGAAAGGGGAAGGTGGAGCAATCCAGACTAGCACCCACAGACAGATGCTGTCACCCAGGCTGAAGGCCTCAGGAGCTGAGGAGAAGTGGGAGCCAGAAGGCCAGAGACAATGCCTTTGAGGAGGAGGGGAAGAAATCCTTTCCTCCTCTTCCCCTCCAGTGGTCCCCTCATCTCGGATCTGTATCATCACTGGCTGAAGGCACACAGATACCAGTCACTGCAGTACTCAGTCCAGATGGAATGCAGAGTAGCTGAGGGAACCCCGGGGGGAGGAGGGGCAGAAGAGCCCTTGCCAGGGCCAGGGGTGTGAGGCCAGATGCACACATTTGTTCTTACCTGCCACTTGGCACAGGCGTCTCTACTCTTCTCCTCCAGGGACATCTTTACATCCTCAGGGGCACTGGGTTTGAGTGCTTCAATAGCTTTCAAGTATTTGGCCAGACTGTTTGTATTAAAGATTTGCAGTGCTTCCTGAGGGAAAAATTAAAAAAGCACACAGAATGTGAAAACCTAATTAAAATCTTCAAAACCAACTTGCCATGCCTCTAAGCAGAGAGAACCAAAGGGACTCTCTGATGATGAAGGTTTACAAGAGACATCTCTTTGTACAGCGAGGTTATTATCCCTTTTGTGTCTCTTGAATTCGTTTGAAAACAATTTGAGATGAATGTGGCGGCACATGCCTATAATTTCAGCACTTGGGAGACTGAGGAGGGAGAATGGCAAGTTTGAGGTCAGCATGAGCAATACAGAAAACCCAACAGGAAGAAGAATATTTATTATTCAAAAGTCCCTTTGTACCTCTTGAATTCTTCTGAAAAGAATATTGTCCCCAAACAGTTATATTTGTGATAGCTTCATGATATCCCAGTTGATCTGTTACTTCATTTGTAAATAATTCAAAGGCTTTCTTGTCCAAAGCCTATAAAGAGGCTACTTTTAAAGTTTTAAAATACTGAGCAACCAAACATATACACAATACAACATGAAGCAGACACAAGCAGGTGTAAAGATGAGCTCTGAAACTACACAAACTTACAGAAGAATTTCCATGGCAACTATTCCATAGGATGAATAAGCACGGTTATGTGGCAAAGATGTAACCTTACCATGTTACCCATTTCTCAGGACTGACCATACAGCCAGTCCTGGTCAGTCTGGCCCTGAAGTAGACAGAGATGGGGATGTCCTGGCCAAAAATGCATCTGCTTCTTACCTGGCCTGCTATATGGTAACAGAAATCTGGCCTGAGTAAAATAGCAAGTGATAGACAAAAAACAGGTTGAAATCTATGAAAAGAGAAAGAAGACAGAAGAAATTCTGGTGGTGAAGCAGGATGGAAAGTAATTATTTATTCACTACTATTAGAAGCATCTCTTGCAGATATGGGACAATGCTGAGCCCCAGTACCCTTCCCAAAGTTTTTTTTTTTTGGGGGGGGAGGGAGTCCTGGGGCCTGAACTCAGTGCCTGGGTGCTGTTCCTGAGCTTCTTTTGCTCAAGGCTAGCACTCTATCACTTAAGCCACAGTGCCACTTCTGACTTTTTCTGTGTATGTGGTACTGAGGAATTGAACCCAGGGCTTCATGCATGCTAGGCAAGCACTCTACCACTAAGCCACATTCCCAGCCCCCAAAGTTTCTTTGAAAATTACTAGATTTGTAACCTGGGAAATCCCCAAACCCCTAAATGCTAGTAGAGAGCTAGCTCCCATAGCTTGTGCTCTTGCCAGGTTCCAGGGCTGGTGAGGCAGGGTCTGGTAGAACACACTTCTTGCTTCTGATGTGAACAATGTATGCACTTCACTAACTGCCAGAGTCCAATGGTAGAGCAATACATGAGTGAAATAGCGAAGGGACAGGATTCAAGCTCTGAGTTCAAACCTCCATACAGGATGGAGGGGCAATAGAAAGAAAGAAGGAAGGAGGTAGAGGTAGAGGCAGAGACAGAGAGGAGAAGGGAGAAGAGGGGAAAGAAGGGAGAGGAGAGGAGGAGGAGAGGGAGGAGGAAGAGAGGAGAGTAGAGGGGGAAGAGAGGGAGAGAGGAAAAGACAGAGAGGGGAGGGGAGCAGAGAGGAGAGGAGGGGAGAGGAAGAAAAGGAGAAGAGGGGAAGGGAGGGAAGGGGAGGGGAGAGTGAAGGGAGAAAGGAGAGGAGAAGGAGGAGTGAGAGGGGAAAGAGGGAGAGGAGGAGAGGGGAGATAGGGAGGGAGAAAAGAGTTGCTAGCTTTAGAGAGATGAAAACCAGAACATGAATGTAAATGGGTGCCTGTAAGGGCGCCATACAAAGAATGGGAGAGTAGGGGTAGGCAGCATCTTCTTCTCCCTCCAAATGCCCAGCTCACCAGAGTATTAAATAAGTGTGTTCAGTGCTGAAGGAATGAATGAAACCAAGACCCTGTGTGCCCTGATCTCCCCAAGTATGCCCATGGTTAGATCCACCTGCATCAAATCCTCACAGGCAGGCCCCACAACATGAAAAACAGTAAGTCTCTAGAGCCAAGCACTGGCAGCTCACGCCAATAATCCTGGCTAATCCAGGTCTCATGCTCTTCTAAATCCAAGTCTGGTGTTGAAATCATGCACAGTTCAAAGCAAGACTAAGCAAAAAGTCTATGAGACTCTGCTCTCCAATTAACCACCAAAAAGCCAGAAATGGAGGTGTGGCTCAAGTGGTAGAGCACCAGGCTTGGACGTGAGCCCTGCATTCAAACCCCAGTACTAAGGTCACACGTGCATGAGTGTATACATACACATGTGGGGAACACAGATTGCAAAAATGGCCCTGAGAGTAAGTTGAGTGGGCAGAGCTGGATTTGTTTAGGTTCAGTGTGTAAATAACTCATGGAAGCTTAGGTGCATAAGGTGTGGCCTTTACAGTGATTGGTTGGTTCCATTTCCTCCCCTCCCATGCAGTCTTTTGCTTTAAAAAGGACATGCTCCCACACACACACACACACACACAATCTCAGGTACTTTTCTTTCCCAGTTGGCTTTAAACCTCAATCCTCTCAGATATCAGTCTCCTGAGTAGGTAGGATTACAGGCATGAGGAGAAATTGCATTTCTGCTCAACTCTCAACTGAGCTATTTACATAATATCAAGTGCAATCCATGGTTCCACAGTAAAATTCAATTAAAGTATTATTCAGTTGAGTTTTTTTCAGTAGTATTAGGGGAAAGAGTTGACATTATGTATATGATTAGAGTGGACTTCAGGTAAGATGAGACTTCAGCTGCGGATGAGAATTACAGTCTTTGTTGATGGTTGATAAGTCTCTCACCTTGTATTTTGCAACGAGCCCACCAGGCCTCCCTCTTTGCCCAAGTAATTGCTCAGCTCTGAAAATGCATGACTCCATTTCCTTCTGCATCTCCTCCATTTGCAGGCTGACATCCAGTTCTGGTGACACATTAGCTGAGTTTGTCAACAGTGCCTCAAGTTCCACCATAGTGATCTGTGAAGGCAAAAAACTTCTCAAATTAACACGTGATCCAACTTCATAGTCAATTCATAGATTCACCAGCATTTCCTTTGAGACAATAGAGAAGTTGGAATGCTGGTGACTCACACCTATAATCCTAACTAGTCAGGAGGCAGAGATCTGAGGAGGGAAGTTCAAAGCTAGCCCTGGCAGAAATTTTTATGTCCAATTAGCAAAAAACTGGAAGTGGGGGTATGGCTCAAGGTAGAACACAAGTCATGAACAAAACAGCCAAGGAAGAGTGAGAGGGCCTAGCCAGGCGCCAGTAGCTCATGCCTGTAATCCTAGATACACAGGAGGCTGAGATCTGAGGTTCACGGTTCAAAGCCACCCCAGGCAGGAAAATTCATGAGACTCTTATCTCCAATTAACCACCAGAAAACCAGAAGTGGCACTGTGGCTCAAGTGGTAGAGTACTTCCCTTGAGCCGAAGAGCTCAGGGATAGCACCCAAGCCCAGAGTTCAAGCCCCATGACAGACCAAAAAAAAAAAAAAAAGAGAGAGAGAGAGGTCCTGTGTTCAAGCCCCACAATAGACAGAGAGACAGACAGACAGACAGACACATACACAAATATAAATTATATAGAAATTATAAAGAAATTTTAAATCATTATAAAGAGATAAGTTATAAAGGAATAAAAAATAATATAAAGTAATACTTTACAAAACATTTCAAGTTTCAAGGCCACCAACCCACTTCCTCACTCACTAGTTATTTGTTGCTAAAAATAAATTCAGTAAATAAGGAATTTTAAAGACAGACCTGGATTTTCTCATTAGCTTCTTGGATCTTTGCCTGGAGCTCAGCTGTGAGAAGATACTGGAGGGACTCCTGACTTGAAATTTTCTGAATATCCATTTGTAAAGTATCTTTGGTTCTAGCCAGAAGTTCTTCATACATAGATCCTTTAGCAATAAGATGCTAATCGAAGAAATTGGAGCGAGATTACAGTAAACATTCAGATTATATTCTATGTATTAACTTTAACAATGCCATCAAGAAACCATAAAGTGATAGTAATTAATCCAGAATGAGACAAATTTGTATTGTGGAAGATTTACTTTAAAAACAAAAATAAATAAAAACGTATTTTGGGGGCTGGGAAGGTGGCTCAGTGGTAGAGCACTTGCCTTGCATGCATGAGGCCCTGGGTTCCATTCCTCAGCACCACATAAGAAAAAAGAAAAAA